TTTGTATACTCATGCCAAAAGGCTCTGCTTCTAATGTGGAACATGTGCTGATTGGGGCTGTCTGCATTGACTTGAGCTGACCTAACTTTTGGCTGTGTCATGTTTGCACCTCTTGCGCAATAGTCAATGTGAGTTGTAGATGTTCCAGAATCTTTCTCCATTCTGTCCTTTGCTGCCTAATAGTCTGATCATCAGGAGACTTGGCCCAGTCTAGGAGCAAACACTATTTCCTCCTAGATTTGATTGTTTTAAAATATCTGATCAATGCTACAATTAGATTTTTATTTTTTTGTAAAGTTTTAATTGCATTTTTCACTTCAACTCATCAATGCTTTTAGATAAAAACTATTTTATTGATCTAACCGGCCATTAACGCTGAGTGTACACAGCTCAACAAACTTCTGCACCACCCCTTTTGATAAACTTTGAAAAATCTACTGAGCCAGGTGTGTTGGCAGAACGCATCCAACCAGATGCATCTACCGTTCGGGTATTGGCCCCCACTGCTGCCTCTGAGCCAATGAGGGGAGAGAGAGAGCAAAGAGTCTCTGCTTTCGTGCACATTTCTGGATCAAGATCGGGCTCATCGAAGTATGAGTGGCTTGGTGGGAGCAACATGAAGAAGGTTTTTCATCTGAATGCATTACGATAACAAAAAAAAAAATCAGGCTTTAGAACCATTTTAAGCACTTGCCTGTTGGGCCAAATCTGACATTTCACTCCTAAATGTAAAAATCCAAATTTTTTTTTTTTTTTTTTTTTTGCAAGAAAATTACTTGGAGCCTCCAAACATATCTTTCTTAAGCAGAGACCCTAGGGAATAAAATGACAGGTGTTGCAATTTATCACGCGGTATTTGGGCAGCGGTTTTTCAGATGCAACTTTTTTGGAAGAAATTCTCTTTAATAAAGTTTAGTGAGCACAAACAAAATATAATACCAATTTTTGGTAAAATATAAAATATGTTATGCTGAGCAAATACCAGATGTGTAATGCGTTAAAATTGCAACACTTTTAAAGCCTTTACAGGTTACAAGTTTAGAGTTACATGGGAGATCTGGCCTTAGATTTATTGCTCTCACTCTGACGTTCGTGGTGGTACCTCATGTGTGGGGCAATCACTGTTGTAGTACTTTAGTTGCTATCAAACAAACGGAAACTGGAAGTGGCAAAATCATCCTTGCCGGTTCTGGCATCACACAGTGGGAGAAACCACATCAGTTCCACCCACTGTGACCAGGGGAGTCAATGCCACCGGTTGTATCTTTACTGGGCTCCCTGATTGGATGGGAGAGCCCAGTAAAGTTAGTGGCGGGATGGAGGTGGGGCCCCCTTCCTCCACCTGTAAAAGTAATCTAGCTGCTGCATTGCCGCTTGGATTACTTTTACAAAAAAGAGACTCGCTGGCCCTAAAAATACCAGTTTCATGGTTGTAGCCTCAAATATGATCCCGGTAAAACTGCTTCAATGGTAGGCCATTTATATACAGGTGTATATACATACAACAGTGTTGACGTGGTTAAGGTCATCTGCCGTGAGATCACTATGCAGATAGTCATTGTTGACCTTTTTCTGTAAACTACTAACGTATCAGGCAAGAACATGGATGCAGTAAACTGACCATACCCTGATATAAATTCACAAGATTAAGCAGGGACCAGCTGAATCCATGCAAGGCCATCCCCACATAACAGAAGTCAATAGTTTGATTGACGTCTGTTGAAGGGACATGCTGGAAAACCTTTCTAGATCGATGTCTTCAGCCGCTCATCAGTGTATTCTGACAGGTGGATAGAATCTTCTCCCCATTACTGACTAACAGTACCTTGTTCTGCACTGTCTTTGTGTGAAGGCAGCCATCTTAGTAGAGGCAGGGTTTTGCTGCAAACACAGGAGTGCCTAGGCACCCTCACATACCAGGAAGTACACAATTTTAAAGGAGGAATTTCAGACAAAAGGTACATTTTTCAAGATAAGGTTAGGCACAATACTCTTATATCTTTGGAGCCATGAATGGAAGATACTGATATAAAAATATTAAACTTTTATATAGTGCCTTTAAAGGTAGCGTTTCAAAGTGCTTTACAAAGAAAAAAACAAGAAATACACAGGATAATATAAAGGGAAAAAAGGGCCATTGAGTGAAAGTTCTATAAAGAAAAAAATATTTAGATTTGATTTGAATGAGTTAAGAGAAGATGATTCTCTGATGTTCCTTGGAAGTGATTCCAGGGTTTTGGAGTATAGCAGGAGAAGGCGCTGTCTCCCATTTGAGTGTAGGTGTGTAGAGGAGGGACACAGAATACCAGAATTTCAGGAGCGGAGGTTGCGGGGGGTGGCTAGAGTGTAAGTTGATAAAAGTTCAGACAAATAATGGTGTGCCAAGCTATGAAGAGCCTTCTAGTGAACAAGATGATCTTAAAGTCTATGCGAAACCTGTCAGTAGCCAGTGCAAGGACTCCATGTTAGGAGTAATAAGGTCACTTGTACCAGACCTAGTGAGGATTCTTGCTGCAGAATCTTGCACATATTGTAGTCAATTAATAGTGGATTTAGGTACACCAGCGAGTAGAGCATTGCAGTAGTCAAGTCAGGAAAACACATTTTATGGATTAGCTTTTCAGCTACAGTGTATGATAGCGTATGACACAGCCAAGCAATGTTTCTCAAGGGGGAAAAAAAGATGTTCTGACAACATTTTATACATGTGGATCAACAGTTAAGTTAGCATCAAATATCACCCCTAGATTTTGCAGTTTAGACTGAACAGCTTCAGCTCTTCTGGGAAGGCTGTCCACAAGGTTTAGGCGTGTCTATGGGAATGTTTGACCATTCTTCCAGAAGGGCATTTGTGAGGTCAGGCACTGATGTTGGATGAGAAGGCCTGGCTGGCAATCTCCGCTCTAATTCATCCTAAAGGTGGTTCTATCGGGTTGAGGTCAGGACTCATGCAGGCCAGTCAAGTTCCTCCACCCCAAACTCACTCATCCATGTCTTTATAGACCTTGCTTTGTGCACTGGTGTGCAGTCATGTTAGAACAGGAAGGGGCCATCCCCAAACTGTTCCCACAAAGTTGGGAGCATGAAATTGTCCAAAATGTCTGACACCTTAAGAGTTCCCTTCACTGGACCTAGGGGGCCAAGCCCAACCCCTGAAAAACAACCCCACACCATAATCCCCCTCCATCAAACTTTACACTTGGCACAATGCAATCAGCATGTACCATTCTTTCAACCACCAAACCCAGACGTCCATCGGATTGCCAGGCAGAGAAGCGTGATTCATCACTCCAGAGAACACGTCTCCATGCTCTAGAGTCCAGTGGCGGCGTGCTTTACACTACTGCATCTGACTCTTTGCATTGCACTTGGTGATGTAAGGCTTGGATGCAGCTGCTTAGCCATAGAAACCCATTCCATGAAGTTCTATACACGTTGTTGTGCTAATCTAAAGGCCACATGAAGTTTGGAATTCTTTAGCTATGGACTCTGCAGACAGTTGGTGACTTCTGCTCGCACTTCAGCATGTACGTACCCTGCTCTGTCATTTTACGTGGCCTACCATTTTGCTGTTGTTCCCAGTAGCTTCCACTTTGTTATAATACCACTAACAGTTGACTGTTGAATATTTAATAGCAAAGAAATTTCATGGAAAGAACTTATTACACAGGTGGCAACCTATCACGGTACCACGCTTGAAATCACTGAGCCCCTGAGAGCGACCCATTCTTTCACAAATGTTTGTAGAAGCAGTCTGCATGCCTAGGTGCTTGATTTTGTACACCTGTAGTCATGGAGGCGATTGGAACACCTGAATCCAATGATTTAGAGGGGTGTCATAATACTTTTGGCAATATAGTATATGCGGGCTCCTTCCCCTATGTAGACCACATCTAACTCTCTTGGTTGTATTCTAACCTCTCCTGATGAAGCAAAGCGAGTTGTGACCATGTCCACGTGGCTTTCTGCTGCTATGTAAACTCATTTTGAATGTAATTTCTGTGACATACATATATGTCCATGTATATGCAGTTATATTGATTATGTTCAGTATCTAGGGCCTGGTCATGGGAGGCGTGCAGTAAACTTTATTGTTGCAGTAAAGTTTGATTACAACCATATATTCTATTACTATTTGGATTTGATCTCTACACTAATTTTTTGAGGATTTTATATGAATAAATATAGCCTTTTAGCCAGGGCTTGACAAATTTGCTTTGAATGTGGGAGCCAGCTAAAAAAATTAGGACCCAGCAGGGGGGGCAGCAGGACAGAAGGAAGGCAGTGGGATGGGGGGGGGGGGGGGGCAGTGTCACAGGAGGAGGGGAGGGCAGCAAGACTGCTGGGGGCCAGTGGGACTGTAGGGGACTGGCTTTCTCCAGGGGGCTGGCTTTCCTGGAATTGTGCAGCTCTTTGTTCCGCCTGTGCATGGGAAGGTATAGGGAGACTCCAGGGGTCCTGGAATGCTGGGTTCCACTTTGTGGGGTGGGGGAGAGGTGCCAGCCGAGGACATGGGGTGGGGGACAACAGAGCAGTGAGGGCTGAAAGGGGTCCAGGCGCCAAGACATGGTTTCTGGTCGCCATGGTGACCTGGCACCTGGGAATTCTCGCTCCCTGCTTTTAGCAGTATGTATATGTATGTGTTTGGGTTATTCCTAAGGTAGCATCTTTATAGTCCCATTTTTTTTCTCTGCCACCGGCAGCAATGAAATTACATGATACAGGAGCAATGTGTAAGTATCTGGTGACTGACCTAGTGCAGTCAGATGGAGGTGGGCATGCCTAGGACTGGAGTAAACTCCAAATAGTGACTTAGAGCTTACACAGTGCCTTTTCCTAGCTCCAGGCAGGTGAACAGAACAGTGGCGGGGAGTAGTAAATATATGTGCTGCTGGGGAAGGGGGTCATATTAAAGTATACCTCTTGCTTTGCCCTGCGTAGAAAAAAGATAATGTGACAGTTTAAGTATATGTCTGCTAATGGTTTTTTCTGCTTTTAAGGTAGAAGAAGGATGGTGGAGTGGGACCTGCAGTGGCCGATCTGGCCTGTTTCCTTCAAACTTTGTGAAAGAGCTGGAGCTGTCAGATGACGCAGAGAGCCAGGAGAGTTCTGAAGACACAGGTATTGGTTACTCTGATGGGAATCACAAGGCTGACTTACTAATGGACAGATTTGCAGCTAAATGGAACTTTTTACCTGTAAGAGTTCTGAAAAAGCAATGCACATGATCTGGTCTTCCCACACTGCGGTTGGGCTGTGTGGCTGAATTGACTACCTCTTTTAGAGCCTCTAAAGTGATTGCAGGTCTCTAGAAGGAATATATGAAGGGTTTATGTTTACTGAAAGTAAGGAAAGTGGGCTCAAATGGGACGGACATTCACTACGCCTTCAATGGACCATGTATCAGTCACCTCTGCTTGAGTTACTATTCCATATAGTGAAGGTCTGTGGTAGTGCTTCTAATGATATCAAATTAGTCCAGGCTATGATATAAACAGAGTGCAGGCTGGTGATGAAAGGGTACATTCTGCTGGCACAGGCGGAAATAAACAATACTTGGTCTTTATATGTGTTTTGTTAGTCTCTGTGGCCTGGACAAATATTTGCCTAGCGAAACCTTCAGAGAGAAGAGCATACAACAGTCTAGTCCATTATGAATTGTTAGATCACTCATTCACTTTCTATTGTTCCTTGGGAACTGTACCATGTCAAAATTAGACACTTCAGGCCAATATGGTCTGCTTTTGTCAAAAGACCGGACACAACCATTGTGTTAAAGTGAAATGGTTTGCAAGCTACTTAGTTTTGTTTTTGTTTTTTATCGTGTTTTGTTTGTTTTTTTAACAGTGGTCTTACCTTACCATCTGGTAAATGACTGACTGAACTGACAGGATTGTAATAAATTCTAGGCTCTAAGTAGATTTAGCCAGCAACACTAATTGTTGGGGGGGGGGGGGGGGGGAATAAATGGGCTGATTGTGCACAAGTCATTCAGTAGATGTTGCCCTACTTAAGAAGTCAAATTTCAATCCATGTGTGACTGGCTTAAAACTAAATGAACTGATCTGTATAACTGTTGAAGGAATTCAAAAGAAGAAAGTTTTTATGTTTCTCTGGAGCGTGTACACAGTCTTGCAATGCAAATCCATTTTGCAATTATGACACACATCTACAGTGGCAGTCATCAAAATGATGTTTTGTGTAACCTAATTGGCCTATGGTAAACTGCCCTGCATGCCATCGGAATTCGTTTGAATCCTGCCTATTTCAAATAAAATCACAAAATGTTGTTGTCTTCATAAATATACTACAGACTCAAATGCACCTGAACAGTTTGCTTCCCCAGCCTGCTTGTAGAGCTCCTGACATTTGTGATGTTGTACTCATGCAAGGCTAGTCCTTAGGGAAGCATAGCAGTCAGTAGGAAGATAAGTAGTACAACTTTTTTTCAATTCCTATGAAAAAATGAACATTTTCCCCCACCCCACACTGCCAGAGTGTTCTTTTTTTTTCTGTTCAGATTTGCAGTATAAGTAATCCCTTTTAGAGTTTCTTTAAAGTAAAACTAAACACTTTAATGTTCCACTTTAGATAGGGGAAGGGAGGGTAATAACCCTTGTCAGGTTTTTTTTTTTTTTTTTTTTTTGCCATCTGTGTTCCCAGTGGGAAGATTTCCCTTCACTTCCTGTCCCATAGCCAAAACTGGAAGCAAAGGAAATCCCTCCGAAGTGAGGGAATCCTGGGTGAAGATCGGGGGCTTCCCTATTAGAAGATTTGCCCTATATTTCTGTTCTTGTGACAAACCAAAATGTTATATTTTCATTTACGTTTATTTGTCTTCTGTTCACTGTTCTCATTGAAAGTAGAGAGGGTGACTCTATTTAACGGGAAGACAGCAATAAAACTTGATGGCTGTTCTCATCCCTCTCCAATCCATCCAAAACTAAAACAAAACAATAAATAGTTTTTTCCCTTTTAGTTTTACTAAAGAGTGGACAAACCTATCATAGGTTTTTTAAATTGATAAACATCTGCAGCACTAAATAGTCCTATACCAGTATAGTACAGATTTCTCTGCTATCTGTTCAATGAATCGATTGGTCAGGAGGCGATTCCTTGATAGGATTTGTTTTTGTGGCCTTAACTACTAGAGAATGGGCTCTTTTTTATGAGCATGTTTTGCCACAATAACTAAAAAAATCTTTACTAGCCAACCATAAAGGTGCAGAGGTCTAAATTGGCTAACCTACAGAGACCTATTTACAACATTCCTACCCCAGTTCCAGGACTTGATCTGTATGTACAGTGGGGAAAATAATTATTTGATCCCCTGCAGATTTTGTACGTCTGTCCACCTACAAAGAAATGAAGGGTCTATAATTTTTATTATAGGTATATTTTAAATGATAGAGACAGAATATCAACCACAAATCCAGGAAAAAAACACAATAAAACTGTTATAAATTGAGTTGCAGTTCAGTGAGTAAAATAAGTATTTGATCCCCATGCAAAACATGACTTGGGACTTGGTGGAGAATCCCTTGTTACCACAGAGGTAAGATGTTTCTTGTAGTTGATCACCAGGTTTGCACACATCTCAGGTTGGATTTTGTTCCACTGTTCTTTACAGATCTTCTCTAAATCTTTAAGATTTTTTGGCTGTTACTTCGCAACTTGGAGCTTGCCATATCTTTTCTATAGGGTTAAGGTCTGGAGACTGGTTTGGTCACTCCATGACCTTCATGTGCTTCTTCTTGAGCCACTCCGTTGTTGCCTTGGTGGTATGTCTTGGGTCATTGTCATGCTGGAAGACCCATCCACGACCCAGTGTTCTTGCTGAGGGAAGAAGGTTCTTATCGAAGACTCTACAATACATGGTCCCATCCATTGGCCCCTAAGTGTGGCAAAGGTGCATAAAGTACCTTGAGCAGAGAAACCGCCCCAAAGCATAATGTTTCCACCTCCATGCTTGGCTGTAGGGATGGTGTTCTTAGGAACTTAGTCAGCATTTTTCTTCCTCCAAACACAGCAAGTCAAGTTAATGCCAAAGAGCTAAATTCTGGTCTCATCTGACCACAGCACTTTCTCCCAATCCTTCTCTGAATCATTTAGATGTTCATTGGCAAACTTCAGATGGGCCTGTACATGTGCCTTCTTGAGGAGGGGGACCTTGCAAGAGCTGCAGGATTTCAATCTATAGCGGCATATTGTGTTACCATTGGTCTTTTGGTGACTGATCCCAACTGCCTTGAGAGCATTCACAAGCACCTCCTGTGTACTTCTGGGGTGATCCCTCACTTTTCTCTTGATAATCCTTACCCCATGAGGCGAAATCTTGCATGGAGCTCCAGACCAAGGGCGATTGATGGTTATTTTGTATTTCTTCCATTTGCAAATAATCGCTCCAACAGTTCCCTCCTTCTCACCAAGCTTCTTGCTGATGGTCTTGTAGCCCATTCCAGCCTTATGCAGGTCTGAACTCTTGTCATTGCCATACTTTGACAGCTCTTTGGTCATTTACCCATAGTGGTGAAAATTGAATGGAAGAAAGAGTTTCTGTGGACAGGTGTTTTGTACACATAACGAGTTGTCGTTAGGAGCACCTTCTTAAATTGACAGGACTGATCTGTGTACAGCATGAGCACATAGCCAGTCTGTGGCAGCCAGAATTATTGTTGGTTGGTAGGGGATCAAAATTATAGACCCTTAATTTCTTTGTAAGTAGGCAAGCTGATAAAATCTGCTGGGGATCAAATAATTATTTTCCCCACTGTATGTCATGGTTTTTTCCCAGGGACTGTAGTGTTGAGGCAGTTCAGGGCCACTGACTTCTATGAAGTGTCGCAAGTAAAAAGAAGATCATAAAGCCAGATTATTTCCTGTGCCCAGCCCATGGTGTTTTATGATCGTATGTAAATCATGAGCCTGCTGAGCATACAGTGCTGGAAATGTTAATTACACACAAACGTAACTAGAGAGGGCACACAGTGTGAGCTTGCCATCTGGAGTCTTGCTGATTAATTTATGTAAATATTATATACTGATATCCTTTCTGGAACAGCAGAATTCTGGTGTAATACTTATTAGCAGCCTGCTGTTGAATAAACAGATCCTTTACTTGAATTAAGGCTGCTTTCAGCCTGCCCTATTGAAAAAAACGCATCAAAAATGCATATGCATTTAGGTATGTGTTTGTTGTGGTTTTTTTGGTTTCTTGATTCCCAGCATGCACCTGTGAAACATGAACACATGACCTATTGCGTTTTCTATTCATTTCAATGGGAAGCTGCATTTTTAGTGTGGTTTTGACAAGCACCCCAAAGATGCACCCGCGGCGCAGTGATGTGACAAGTCCCATAAGATTTGGTTTTGGATCGCATCTATGCAGCCGTGTGGGTTGCAGTTTGCGTGGGTGCGGCAGCCCATTTATTTGAATGGGCTGCTGTGCCTAGTGAAACACAGGGTAAAAGTCTTTGTACTACTTTTGGAATCGCAGCCTGCACAGGAACCACATGTACAGTGTGGTTTCCAATGTAGGCAGCATGCCATTAGGGTTAATGGCACCTGTCTGCAGCTCCTTTGTTTTACTGTGCATGTGGTTGCGACTGAGGGAAAAAGGTCCAGGTGACACAGTGGCAACCACCTGAACAGGTGTGAACCTAGACTTCTGGGGAAACCTTTTTCCTGTATTTTTTTTGGCCATTTACAAACACATCAGTGTGAAAGCAGCCCAAGACTAGCAGCCCATTCCCATTTCTGCAGAAACGCATGTGTTGAAGTGGAGCTCTAACTAAAATGTTTTTGTCATCTTTGAAGTGTAGGGAAATATTAGATGCTTTATATCTTTCTGACTTCCTGATGGAGCTATTTCCTTCAACTTCTGTCTTGGTGGCAACGAAAACAAAAGGGCCTGTTTTCCATTGCCACAGGGCATTTTTCTATGGAGAATTTGCTATGGAGTGAGTATCACTCACCAACCTCTCTGAACACTCAAATGTTTATATATGGATTATCAATCTGTATAGTTGAAAAATGTATCTGGAGTGGAGAAAATGAAAACTCGGCTTAAAGAAACCACTCCAGGTGTCACTGGGTTGGAGGCTTTATCCAGTCGGCATACTGCAAAAAACATTTGCAGAAGTAAAAACCCCTCTCCCAAGCTATCAAAAATGCACTTCAAATGCACCCACGTTCCACACTGCAGTGTGGGAGAAAAAAAAAAAAAAAAAAAAAACCTTACTCAAAGTTCATGGTAAAAAAAACACAGCCCAAATAATGCTTAAAGCCCAACTCCAGGAATCAGACAAGGACTGCTCTTGCAGTAGGGGGCCATGTGCAAGGGTAAATGCTTAGTAACTCAAGGGGGTACAGGCAGTATTACCCCAACCCTATGTCCCCTTCTCCTTTTTTCTCTCCAAAGCTTTGGACTGTGGGCAGTCCCTTGGCGTTATCATGCAATGCAGGGCTATTACCCTTGCACTATACAGTTCTGTGAAAAAGTAATTGCATCCTTCCTGATTTTTTTTTTTTTTATTTTTTTGCATATTTGTCACATCTAAATGATTAAGATGATCAAATGCATTTGTATAGTACACAAAGCTAACCATGATAAATACAAAATGCAGTTTTTAAATGATTTAATTATTTTTGCAAAATCAAGAATGTACTGTGAATAACCACATTTTTTACAAAGCAGAGTTAAATTTTGCTTGACAACCAGGCCTGATTACTGACAGACCTGTTGAATCAAGATTATCACTTAAAAAAAGCTGTCTGACACTGTGAAGCATGCGCAGCACATCATGTTGTGATCTATAGAAATTTATGAACAAAGTGAAACAATGAGGAACAAGTAAGTAACAGTCTGGAAAGGGTTACAAAGCCATCTAAGGCTTTCGGACTCCAGTGAACCACGGTGAGAGCCATTATCCACAAATAGGGATAACTTGGAATAGTGGTGAACCTTCCCTGGAGTGTCTGACGTACCAAAATTACTCCCAAGAGTGACGACTCAAGGAGGTCATAAAAGAATCCAGAAAAACATCTAAAGAATTGCAGTCCTCACTTGCCTCAGTTAAGGTCACTGTTCATGAGTCCACAATAAGAAAGAGAATGGGCAAAAATGGCCTCCATAGGACAGTTCCAAGGAGAAAGCCGCTGCAGACCAACAAGAGCACAAAGGCTCGTCAAAAACATCTTAATTATCCCTAAGATGTTTGGGCAAATATTCTGTGTATTGTTGAGAGAAAAGTTTAACTTTTTGGAAGATTTGCATAAAATTACACAGAGCTTTTCATAAAAAAAAAAAACAGTCAAACGTGGTGATAATGTGATGGCCTGGGGCTGCTTTGCAGCTTCAAGACCTGGACGACTACTAGAAGATCCTGAAGAATGTCCGTCTATCAGTTCATGACCTCAAGCTCATTTGGGTTATGCAGCAGGACAATGATCCGAAACACACCAGCAAGTCCACCTCTGAATGGCTCAAAAACCAAAACAAAAAAAAAAACTAATTAAGGTTTCGTGGTGGCCTAGTCAAAGTCTGGACTACAATTCAATTGAGATGTTGTGGCATGACCTTAAACAGGCCGTTCATGCTCGAAAACCCCTCAATGTAGCCCGAATTAAAACAATTCTGGGAAGAGTGGGCCAAAATTCCACAACAAAGTGAAAGACTCCTTGCCAATTATCGCAAACTCTTGATTGCAGTTGTTGCCGCCAAGGTTGGCACAACCAGTTGTTAGGTTTAGGTGGCAATTACTTTTTTCACATAGGGCCAGGTAGGTTTGGACGGCTTTTGTCCCTTAACTGAAATAATATTTCAAAACTGCATTTTGTATTTACTCGGGTTATCTTTGTGTAATCAATTTTGTTTGATGTGAATCATTTAAGTGTGACAAGAATGCAAATAATAAATAACACTGTACATGGAGAAGACAGGAGTGCAACCGTAACTGGCACCGCCGTAGGCCCTCCATAGAGCAATTTTTCTTTCCTGCAACCATGAGAAAATTGCTAGATTCCCCCATTATCACAGTCAGTGTTGATAGGGGAATCCCTCCTGCAGAACCATTGTTTTCTCTTGGGGGGGGGGGGGGGGGAGCCATCCCAGCCAGGAGAACACAGTGATTACTGCTAGCAGCTGTAATAGCCGCATTGCATGTAACATCTGACAGGCTGGTTATGCAGTAGCTGATTGATCGTCTATGGATATCTTTAGCGGTGAGGCTTTGTTGTACTGGTTACACCGGTGGAGGGACCCTGTTAAAGTCAACAATAAGGTGTTATGCTCCATGCACACTAACTTTTTTTTTTTTTTTTTTATCAGCTTTTTTTTTTTTCTGCTTCTAGAAGCTACATAATGTAATCCTATGTGTCCACGTACACCATTTTAGGCTGGTAGCATTTTTCAAGCTTCAGCGTTAAGGAGCAGAAAAAACAATTTGTTTTTGTAGAGTTTTTGGGAGAATTTTTTCCTGGCAGAAAAAAAAAGCTAAATGCAATACAAGCCTGTACAACAACAATATCAGCAGTTTTCATTCAGTTTTTTTTCTAGCATTTTTGTAGCTTATAATAAACGCTGGTGTGCATGGAGCCTTGTACTTTATTATTCATGTGGCTTTATACTTGACAAGCATTTAACCCTTGCAGTGCAGGAGTCTAAATGCAAGGATAGATTTTGGTTGACCTGGTTTTGGGCTTTAAGTGGCAATTTAAAATTTAATGGGCTTTTAGGGCTGTCTTTGGAGGGAAGGGGGAAATTAGCCCCTAAAACTGTTGAAGGCGCTTGTCATTGCACAGAGATTTTCCAGCTTGTATGGATTTCATTTCCACGGCACTTGTCGGTTTTTATCCATAGTTAAGTTTAAATAATTTTCCAATATATTGGAAGTCAGGCATAGAGATAAAACATATCTGCATTTCTGATTCATCAGTTTTGTTTTTTTTTTGCTTTCATCTTGCAAAGGTCAATTTACACTTTGTAAGGGGTGATTTTGGCTCTTTCTACTTTTAATAAGTTCTGTGGTCATATGAACTAATCTTTATAAATGGGCTTCTCTGTGTATATTGTAATCTCTGTATTTGTACAGCACTATAGTAAATCTAGAGGCATTTACAAAAACTCAGAGGTTTCGATAAAAGAAACACTCATTGAGTACTGTTATCCGTGAACAATTGAAGTTTTCTCCATTTAATTAAATGAAACCTCTTGTCCCTCAGTTTCTAGTAATACTGTAGGTGTGGGATGTAGTTGGCACCTCTGTATAGTAGTTAAAAGCTGCAGCCTAGGCTGGTAAATCTTCATTACACAAGTGTAGCGACTTTGGAAATGTTCCTGCAATACTTGGATACGACCTGAGTGCCAGAGAATGTAAAGTTGTCTGAGTAGTTCAGGAATCTTTTCAAAAGCGCAGCAACTTTGGAAAGGTTCCTGCTCTACTTTGCTGCAATTTGAGTGCCAGGGAATGTAAATTTGCCTCAAAGTAGTGCAGGAAGCTTTTCAAAGTCACAGCATACATCCCTTATGGGCAAGCTGATATGTGACAGGTCTGCAGGAGACATGTTTGGCACCAGCACTCTGCTGAACGCTGGTGCAATGCTTTACAGGCTCCTGCAACAAAAAAATAATAAATGCACATTTTTCTTTACCTGCAAAAAAAATTTGCATTTATTATTTTTTTTTTTGTGAAAAGTTAAACTTCTCCTTCAAATGGACTGTAGTGCGTTTCTGTAAAACGCACTAAAAGATGCATAGATGTGAACCAGACCTTATGTCTGAGCTGCTTCATCCTTTGCTTGTTTGGTAGAAAATGGAATCCATAAAATTTTGTGATTATCCCAAACCTTCTCACACTATAGTAAAATGTGCCAAGATTCCAAAAAGACAGTGTGACGGAATGATGGGGATGCCATGGTGTCAGTATGCTCCTGCCACCTGGTCAGTTATACATGTACTGTCTGTAAACCCAAACTGAAAAATAAAAATAGATCACTTGCATGCTAAACCTTTTTCTTTTCTGTACTGCATGTCATTGCAAATAAAATACAAGGTCATACTGCCAGTTTCATCCTTTCCCTGAGTTATGCAGCTTTATCTCTGTCAGCATTGTTGCCCATATGCATTTCACTGTATGCCCTCCGTGACCAGCCTCCCTGTCCAGTATGACGTTGGCCACATCCAAGGGAGGCAAGCCCATGGAATCGGTCATCGGCTAATGTTTAGCGGTAGCTCCTGCAAGGAGCCGTGATGTCATCCATTCACGGCATAAGCTGATAGTGTGTCACTATTGCATACAGCTCTCTGGGGCTTGGTTCAGTTAATCACATTGTCCTCGTGGAGCACAGCAACTGAATAGTGGTCACATGACAGCCTAATAGCCAAAAAAGATATTTGCTTTTTATTTTATTCCCCCCCCCCCCCCCCCCCCCCCCAACCAAGATTTTAACAGGTAATGCTTCCCTATTATGTGTTTAGTGTTTAGTGATGTGCATAATGAAAGAAAGAGGTATGGTTTACATTTACTTTAAGCTTTTGGTTAACAAAGGTTTAAAAATATTTTTGTTGTCTGTTTTACAGCAGAGCCTACCACAGCCCCTACTGGTGCTTCACCATCTTCCCCTGCGTTATCGCCAGCTAATAGCTTAGAAGCGTCTACCCCTACTGTGGCTCAGCCAAAGAAAATCATGGGAGTTGGTTTCGGAGATATTTTCAAAGAAGGGTCTGTGAAGCTGAAGCCAAGAATACCAGTCGCAGATTCTGAAATCAAGAAGCCTGAGAAGGTAAAAGCAGTATGTAGTCAGCTCAGCTTCTGTTCTTTAAAGTGTTCTTAACCCACAATGGTAAAATCAGTCTTTATAGCTTGTTCTACTCACTGTGGAGGGTTAATCCTCTGCATTGTGTAAAAATGAGTTTGATCCTGACTTCTCTGATTCTCCCATTCCACGTTCCCCACTTAATCTCTTGATAGAACACAGTCTCGGGGATACTCTGCACATGCTCAGTTTGGTGTGTATATCTAGAGTGTTTTTTTTTCTTTTTCTTGAGAGGGTGCATGTGATTAGCATGGGGCCAATCAGCACTGCCCAGAAAGAGAGTCAGGGTTATGCAATCTCATAGGGCAGTGAGAGCGAAATGAAAACTCCTACAAGCTTTAACCAGTTAACCTGTCAAGTTCAGGTACCCGCCCCCCCCCCCCCCCCCCCCCCCCCCCCCTTTTCCTCTCCTCTCCAATGTTGCCAATCCTTAATGGGGAGTGGGGGAGCAGTCCTTAAAGTGGAACCTCCCCTTTTGGGTGTAGCTCTGCTTTAATCTACTCCTTCCCTTTAGTATGATCTATGCGATATCCGCTCAATAACCTAAATCAAGAGAATAAGACGGTGATTCTAATTGCACCAAACTGGCCCAGAAGAACCTGATACACAGATATACTAAGACTTCTAGCAGATGACCCCTGGCCACTTCCCAACAGGCAAGAATTGCTATCTCAAGGCCTGCTATCCCTTTCTGCTTCATTTTCTGTCTTTATCCACATGGCTGTTGAATCCCTAGTCTTAAAAGACAGAGGGGTCTCTGAGTCATTCCTACCATTCCTATATGCAAGAAAAGCCGCTTCTAGGAAAATCATATCTGTAAATCCTACTTTGCCTGGTGTGAACAGACACTTTAATCCCAGCGATTACTCTGTGCCTCTCATTTTGGCCTTCCTACACTCTGATCTTGATCAGATTTTGGCCTTAAAGTGGAGTTCCAGTGAAAATAAAAAAGCAGCTACAAAAACTGTGGCCGCTGATGCTAAAAAGAAAAAAAAAAAAAAGACACTTGCCTATCCCTCGATCCCACGGTGGCCCTTCCCCAAACCCCCCGGTATCCCCTCTTACCGGCCGCCCTGTGTTCCCGGCACCGACATCTTCAGTGTGGGCGCCCGGCTATGACAGCTTGCGGCTTCACAGCCGTGTACCCACTGTGCATGTTCATGTTGCGCTTTGTGAATGATCTCGTAGTCTTCTGGGATCTGTCACATGTCCAAGAAGACTATGGGGGAGGACAACTAACGCTTTCAATCGCAGCGGAAGTGGAAGCTGCTATGCAAAAACCATACAAAGCAGTGTGCAGGAGCTGACAGGGGAGAGATCTGTATTGTTTACATACAGGTCTCTCCCCCGTCAGAGATCACTGGTTTGCCGGTGGGGAAATCACCGGCCATTAGGGATTTCCGGTGATTGACAGCCGAGGCTGCGACTGGTGTGGGTAGGGCGTGCACGCCCCCTACCCAGAACTGCAAAACCACGTGTGAATTATACATGAATTTTGCGAACCCGTGCCGCCCTATAGCATTATATTTCTGCTATAGAGATTTTTCTGTTAGTCTCTTCGAACAATTTCAGACAAAATTTGTGTACGAGCGATCAGTGTGCGTACAGTCACTTCAAAAGCGGTATTTTTCGTATGATTTTCTGATCGTGTATTAGGCTTAAATGGCTCTCTTTTATAGAATTGTTCCTCGGATTTGACAAAGTTAAGGTTGTCCAATACCATTCTTCCTTTCTTCCCCAGGTTGTATCTGGCTTCTATTGCTATTCACATCCCAAGGGTGGACAATTGTCAGGAACACTTCCCAAACCATCAATGCATAGAGCCAGGGCAGTAGACTCTGTACCCCAAGATCCTCCAGAATCCCTGTCACTGATAGAGAATACTGATATAGACATCCTGGCCTCCAGATTCAACCTCAAGCTACACAGACTTTTAAGTAGAACAAAGGATCCTTTCACCTGTGCAGTAGATGCCATTCATACGGAGCTACGCCTCTCCTCCAGTAAAGACTCTCCCTCGAGGGAGGTGGAAAAGTTCTGGTGATTCTCATCACACAAATTGGCCCAGAAAGATGTGGTACACAGACAGGCTCAAACTCCTGGGAGATAAGCCTTGGCTCTTCTAAACAGACTTGATTTACTGGGGCAAGACCCCCTATTCCACCCTGCTTCTCTTTCTGTGGCTTTAGCAACATGGCTGTTGAAACCCTGACTCTAAAGGATAGGGGACATATCTGATTCATTCATTCCCACCATGCTGAGAGCAAGAAAATCCAACTCCCGCAAGATCTACCTTTATACATGGAAGGCCTACTTTGCCTGGTGCAAGAATAGACATCAACTGGGAATACTTTTGTTCAGATCTTGACCTCCTATCTATGTTCAGTATGGACTTGACCAACGTCTGGCCCTGAGTACCCTCAAGGGACAGATCTCTGGCTTATACATTTTATTTCCAGAAACCTCTTTCTTCACAGTCCTAGATCAATGCATTTCTTCCGGGAGTTGAGCTTGATACTCCCTATACTTCATAGACCCCCCCCCCCCCCCTTTCTGTTAATTAAAGATATCTGTTTGGGAGATCTCACCTGTAAGGTTGCCTTCCTAAGGGGTCGTTCACACTTATTTCTAACTCTTGCCAAACGCCCCTATAGCGTTTGACAAGCATTAGACAGGCGTTCGTGAAGCATTTTTAACGCTCCCAAATGCTCTATGCGTGATTTTGAAGCGCTTGATAGGCGTTTGCCAAGCCTTAAAACCGCATCACATTCGCCTATAATGAAGTTTAAATGGTATTAATGCTTGTTTGCGGAGCGGCACCATAGACTTGAATGGTTGGCTTCAACTCCTCTCCTGACTCAACATGAGGCGTCACTTTTTCCGCAACGCTAACACTTCCATGTGAACAGCACTGTGTGCTGCCATGTGCAGAATTTTCAGAGGCATTTGAGAAGCGTTAAAAACGCTTCCAAAACACCTGTATGACGCCTGCTGACAGAGCTAGTGTGAACGTAGCCTAACAGGTATTACATCTTATAGGTTTGTTTCCGTGCTGACAGCCTTTTCTTGTACGGGGCCATTTCTTATTTTGCACAAGGGCAAGATGATCATTGAGACACGGTCTGTGACAACAGCCCTCTGTCCTGTACTCCAAGGTGAGAAATGTACAGGCAAATCAAAATTCCTTTTTTCTGCTTTGCTCTGTAGATACCTCATATAAACTCTGCTAAAGCTGAACTGTAGACAGTGTTTTTTTTTTTTTGTTTTTTTCTCTTAATACATGTGATACATATAACATATATGGAGTGGTTTTTTCCTTCCAGAGAATTTGTATTTTTGTCCATCCATTCCTGAGATGTGCGCTACTCTGCACACACCATATAGGTCTTTTTGGTAGGGGAACTGATTGTTCTCAGCTGAAACCAAAACAGAAGCTTGTAATTGGAAAGTGAAAAGGAGAAACCGGTTAAGAAGCTGTTCTTTCTTCTCCTATCACTGTGTTCCTTTTTAGGACATGAGCACTGCAGCATTTTTACAGGCTCCTTGTCCTGCCTTTCCCTTGTCCATTGTGGGCACTTCCATATAGGATCTGTAAGAAGCTAATACAAAGCCAAATTCAGGCACTTGCAATGCTTACATCTTTTTAAAAAAACGTGATGACACAATACAGACCTCCGTTAATTTGTTTGCTCTTTATACCTGCCTGGAGTTAGGCCTACCCTCAGCCTGAAGCAAGCATTATTTGTTGGTGCATCAGCGTGACATTTATAAATAAACTAAAATGCTGCAATTACCTCAAAAATAAGCTTTTAATAAATGGTTAACTTTCTATACAATCATAAAAATTTGCAAATGACCCATGGTAATGTACTTACTGCATGCATTATGTTATAGTGAATAGACCCAGCTTACTATTACATCTGTTTTTCAGCCGTCACCTACTCCACCACCAGCAGCAAAAACATCTCGCACACTAATCTCAGATCTACCAAAAACAGAAATTGACGGCAAACCAAAAGGTGGGACGTATTCTGTGGCTTTCACTGTGTTCATGAACCTTTTCTGTCACGTTTTCAGGCTAATTCTTGGTTTTTAAAAGGTTGAGTCTTCACAAGGCCTCTGTTTTAACTGCTTAATGGTTTATATATTTATTGTCCAATCTCAAAATCTATGACAGGAGATTGGAGCCATGCTGCAGGAGAATGTAAGATTAGGGACATAATACATGATTGCTAGCGATCCCTGCTTTTACAATACCGAAGGCTCTGAATACAGACTGCTGGGGTCTATGGGCTGCACTCCAAACACCAAAGGGCAGCATGTGATCCTTGGCCCCTTTGAGTCACAGGTTAAGCACCAGGGCTCTATATACTTTCAAGCCACTGTAAACATTGTTAGGCATTCAGCACAACATTGTTAGCATCACACTCTTGGGACAGCCCTGAGAAAGGAGGAGCCCATTCCCTAAAGGAAAAAAGAATCTGGCTGCTTTAATATCTCAAAGGCTGATCTCAGGTTTCTGACACGTGGCGTGTCCATTTTTCATCCCTTCAGTGAGTCCCCATATTCCCATTCTTCCTCATTGAATAGTTTTCATCTGCTCCCTGTTCTTGTAATTGGTTCACTGCTTTTCCCAGAAGTCTACACAGAGCTTTATCTCAAATGACAGACATTCCCAGCATTGTCTTGCTGTAAGTTTCATCTTTAATGATATAACCTGCAAAGGTGATGCACAACTCAACAGACAGTGCGGGGATAAAACATTTCTGATTACCACATACTTTGTTCTTTCTTTTTCTCTTCACTCTGAAACTGAAGATTCAAAATATAAATTAATTTTGTATCTTCCACCCTTTTTTTTTATTTTTTCTGAATATAACTTTAGGGGGTAACTGAAATATCAACTCAGGTTGATTAACATGGTGAATTGCACCCCAAATCTCACATGCAGACACAGATATTTAGGTTACCTAGGAGCTGGCAGATTTAGTTGGTTTTAGTTGAAGTCTAGGTTTGATTTTTTTTTTTATTGCCCCATTACATTGGTCCAGATTGATCTGATGTAAGTACTTCGTACCTGAGGGGCTGCTTTGGAAGGGGACAATCACTGTAGCAGTGGCAGCTAATACAACGGTAACTGCAATCTTCCAGCTCCTGTGTTGAATGGCTTTTTTTTTCTGCATACTGAAAACTGAGACGCTCGCTGGGCACTGCTGCCATTTGTAAGAATGCCTTACATGTTGTTCAATAATTGCAAGGCATTTTTTTAAAGGATAAGGTGTGGATCATGATGTCACCCCCTCCTCGGTGTTAGAGCAGTACATAGCCAGGGGATGAGCTTGGCCCCTAGAGGTAGTGTATCCAAGGATGTCACTCAAACCTAGCTAGTGGTATGTGTGTTCAGTGGTAAGGTGGGTGGGTTTTATAGGTTTGTGGGTAAATGGACCTTAGATTGTACACTCCTTGAGGTTTAGGGACTGATGTGAATGTACAATATATATGTAAAGCCCTGCGTAAATTGACGGCGCTATACAAGTACCTGTAATAATAAATAATAAATAAATGGAAAGTTGGAGTATAAGGATTAGGGCAGTGGCAGGGAGGGGTATGAGAGAACAGTCTGGGCAAGAGAGGAAGAAGGGAGGGCAGGAGGGAAAGCAGATCAGATGTGGCATGTTTTCATCTTGCAGTCTCCAGTCTTCTTGCAGGCCATATTTTAGGTGGCATACATGCACTACCCCCAGCCATAGACCATAACCGCCCTGTACCGGGCTTGGCACATTCATGTGGAACACTCATTTTCTCTGATGTGCTTTTACGTTTGCGTGCCGTTTTAATCACCATAGAGAGTAATGACTTTGGCTGTACAAGTCCTGAGCTAAAGATGGAGGCAGCTATAACCCTGCATGGTATACACAGATGTACGTGCCAGGTTTAAAGCAGGTTGAGAACACAGAGGATACCAGCCCTGGAGAGGCTGAATACTGTACCTTTCTGGACAACTGCAACGTTTGTGCTTGTGTTTGGATGAATGCCGCAGAGAGCAGAGTCCTATTCAAACTGTACACTTAAAGGTGCACTTTTTTTTTTTTTTTAAACAATTCAGGTTCAGTTTCTGATTACATGCCGCTCAAATTGGTGTTTTGTTCATCCATTTTTCCAACAGCCAAAGAGATATGCAGAGCCTTGTATCCCTACGATGCAATCAATGAGGATGAGCTTAGTTTTAAGGAAGGCGACATAATCAACTTAATAAATAAAGTAAGTGGTCTCACAGTAGTTCATACCACCAAAGTGTGTTACCTCTGGAAACTGAAGCATCACCTTTGTTGTTTGCAGGATACTGGCGATCCTGGTTGGTGGAAAGGAGAACTCAATGGTAAAGAAGGAGTTTTTCCTGACAACTTTGCTGCTATAATCCAGGAATTAGAAAAGGAAGTGAGTGTGCTTTTTTGTTCTTACTCATTGTTGAAATTCAGAATACATTTTTCAAAAAGACACGCAGTTTTATTTATAGAGGTCTCTCTTAGCAGGATAAGTTCACCTTTAGTTACTTGTTACACCCATATTTATTTAGGGTGTAACATGTTACTAAAGTGCACCTGCCCCCACCTCCCGATTTAGCACCCCCCTGACAGGGGGTGGGGAACCTTCTTTCCTCACCCACTGTCAAAATTTAAAAATGGTGCAGCTGGGCTGGGCTTTGCTCACATAGCCATGTCATTCATTCAGAGTCCTGTGAATTAATGAAGTACAAGTCCCATCTGCCACTGCGACTAACTGCTTGTAGTTCTCAATGAACTGCAAAGGTGCTAGTGAGTATCCGCATAGTTTGCTTCTTCCTGCTCTTTAGTAACTGTCTGCCCATTTGGGAGGTACGGGCAGACCGCTGTACTGAGTCTGCAGGAGCCTGACATTGCACCTGTGATCTGCTACTCACTGGTGTAATGCTCTGCAGACTCCTGGAGAGAAATAATAAATGCACACTTTTTAACCTGATAAATATGTGCGTGGTTTTTTTTTTTTTTTTTTTTTTTTTTTTTTTTAAAGGTTTACTTATCCTTTAAACCAAGCCCCCATCTTAAGCAACCCTTGTTTCACTGGTAATGTTCCTTGCTGAGTTGTGTCTGGCCTTTGACAAGACTATAGCTCTCCTACTGTGTTTATTTCATCTTCAAGTTACTTTCCTAGCAGGTTTCATCTCAGCCTTTCCCCCATTGTGCGTGATATGGTTTCCTTTTATCCAGGTCTAGTTGGTTGTAGTCACATTTTATCTAGACTTCTGTAATGTTTCACTATTCATCATGCTGGCTTCTTCAGCCATTATACTAATATACATACAATTTAGCTTTATCAAATTACCATGGGTGTCAAAGGCCAATCTCCTGTTTAGTGGTGTTGATACAGTGGCAAAGAATGCACATTTTGTACTTCTAGTTATTGGGGAATGTGATATTTGATTGCCCGTGCTGCCACTTAGCTGTTGTTTGTTGTCTTACAGAAGCCAAAGAAGCCTCCACCTCCGAAAAGTACGGGTAGGTATTGTTTTCCTTACAGCCAGATTGAACACTCTGATTGCAGTGCTTCATGGAATGCAAAAACATTTGACTAAACATACATAAAGATATTACCACTCTAGGCAGTTTTACAGATCATCCAACCAAGCTGCTTTTTTTTTTTCTTGATGTCATACAAGCTTTATTGCAAGTAGTGTAAATCCACACAGCCAGATAGTGGCAAAGGGGCCATTTTCCTTAAGAGGGACTTTGTCATGAATTTTTCCTATAAATCACACATCCGAATTTTTGCCCAGTTTTTACTTGTGCATGGTAGATTGTGTATTTTCTGGCAATCAAACAGCTGTTCTTCCTGGTGGTTCAAAAGTAGTTGAAATTGACTGAGAATTGCTACATGTATAGCCTGCTTTAGTAAAGCTGAGAACCTGGTAGGAAAGTATTTGCCACTAAATGTCCTATACATAAATCTGATGGGTGATTCCACCCCACCAACATTCCACTGTACCAAAAGTTGGTTGTTTTGTTTTTATAAAGCTTCCTAATTATAACCCACAGGGCCCATTTTACATGTATGTTTGTGTGTTTTAATGTGCATTGTTTTGCAGCAAATTATTACATTTATGGGCTCCTACTGAGCTTAAGGCACCAAAAAACGTACCTGGCCCGACTTTGGCATGTAGTCACTACAATGTATGTGTATTCACGTTTCTGTATTGTGCTGCAGTGACACATGATGGGGGCCCTTAAGAAGTTGAGGTATTTTCACCATATTGCATGTACAATGCACACAAAAGTATGAAGTCTACTTTAATATGCTCTGGTCCCTGTGACCTGTATATACTTTAAGGGTGTACTTGCATTGGGCATAGTTGATCGGAACCCTGCCTAGGTGCATTTGTTCACCCTTCTCACTCTCTGGTCTGCGCTCCCACTTTGTTCCCGGGCACTCTTATGTTTTCTGAGACCACCATGATTCCTGCTTCCATTCCTGGTGATATATGCAGAGTTCTGTACGCAGACAGTTTGCGCTCACACTGAAGCGAACTGTATTAGACCACAAGTCAACAGTTTCCAAGACCATCTCTTCCAAGCGGTCCCAGGCATGGTATGCTTAACTGTTCTCGAACACAATTTGGAGCACTCGCAGTACATAGAACAACCAGCCAAAGGGGGTAAACTGTACCTCTGGCATGGCTAAAACTGGCAGTGTGAGTACATCCTTAAATTGTTACTAAATCCACAACAGTAAACAGTTTGTATATGTAGTAAAGCATGCCTGGTGTACTTACTGTGGAACCTATGGGGTTAATCCTCGGCATTTTGTAAAAAGGCTGTTTGATCCTGTCTTCTCTGATTCTTCCCTTCTACTGTCCCCGACTCATCTGCTGATAGAACAGAGCCTTGGGGCAAGCTGCACATGCTCAGTTTGGTGTGTATTGCTAACGAGGTGGGGGTTTTTTTTGTTGTTGTTTTTTTCCCTTGGGAGAGTGCATGTGATCAGCAAAGGGTCAATCAGCACTGTCCAGACAGATGGTCAGGGGTTATGCAGCCTCGTAGGGCATTCTGAGGAGAATGAAAACTCCTCCTGCAATCTTTAGAACTAGTGCTCTGCTGGACACTGATAGAAGTCACAAGATTGCTCTAACTGCTGATGGGAAAAGGTATTTAGCAGTTTACATTTACTAAAATAATTGCATTTCCAAGTTCTGTGTACTGTGGGAGACCAGATATAGTGAATGCAGGGTCCGGGGAGACCAGATATAGTGAATGCAGGGTCCGGGGAGACCAGATATAGTGAATGCAGGGTCCTGGGAGACCAGATATAGTGGATGCGGGGTCCGGGGAGACCAGATATAGTGAATGCAGGGTCCGGGGAGACCAGATATAGTGAATGCAGGGTTCGGGGGAGACCAGATATAGTGAATGCAGGGTCCGGGGAGACCAGATATAGTGAATGCAGGGTCCGGGGAGACCAGATACAGTGAATGCAGGGTCCGGGGAGACCAGATACAGTGAATGCAGGGTCGGGGAGACCAGATATAGTGAATGCAGGGTTCGGGGGAGACCAGATATAGTGAATGCAGGGTCCGGGGAGACCAGATATAGTGAATGCAGGGTCCGGGGAGACCAGATACAGTGAATGCAGGGTCCGGGGAGACCAGATACAGTGAATGCAGGGTCCGGGGAGACCAGATACAGTGAATGCAGGGTCCTGGGTTTAGTAACACTTTAATGTAACATAAATTATTGGAGTGTGTAACACAAGTGGACTGCATGGTAAACTTATTTTTTAGTATCAAGACAAATCATTTCCATCAAACTATACAGGTGATCAGTTAATGCCTTTTAAGATGCCATTTTGAAGCACCTTAGTGAGTTTTAAGGAGTTTTTTGAGCATTGCATACTTAAATTATGGTTCTTTTTCCTGTCAGTGCCAAAGCCAGAACTTCGTCTTGGAGACAAAAAGTTCACTCCCACCAAATCAGAGGAGAAAGGTAGCTTGTTTTGTTTTTTTTTTCTTGCCTTCTTTAGTACTGTTCTGCGCCTCCACAATACGTTAAAGGTCCTTTTACATACCACAGCATGTAAAAATGCACTGGGAAAACATGTTCAGTAATGAGCATTTGCATACATTTTTTTATGCATGTTGAGGTTTAATTTCACACATTAATGTGGCGGTGTGAACAAGGCACATAGAAAACAATTGTGCACTTGAAGCACCTTGCGTTTATCCAGTGCAGAAAAATATAGGTCAGTGGACAAGGAATGAATGAGCCCTAAACAAACCTGTCGGCTATTTTAAACTTGTCCTGCTGAAGGGTGGATAGCGCAGGACGCCTACTATTGCCTTTTTTTTTTTTCTTTCTAGTCTGTTTGTGAGCTTCTTAAATCAATTTCACATTGTTACTTGGTCTCCTGGCTAAGCCAATTGCCATTCATTTTGTTGTATTTTTGTAGATGAAAAGCCATTTCTTGAGCCTAAGCCTTCCAAACCAGCTGCACCTTTGGTACCTCCTAAGAAACCCAGTCTTGTAAATAAGTCAAATAGTAATCTGGTCAAAACCAGCAACCATCCCACCCAAGCGACCTGACAAGCCAGCTTTCTCAACACCTCCATCCAAGTAAGTGTGTGTGTGAAGGGGCTTTCTATCTAATGTTCTCTGTTCTAAGAAACCCACTTTATCCATTATTCTGGTTACTCAGTCATGATCACCATACTGTTTAGGGCCGGTTGTGTTGGAGAATAAGCCCTGGGAAAATGTGCTATCCAAGTATTATTTTAAATATAGAGCCAATGACTAAGATCTCAGTATTCCCTTTACATAGTAATTCAGGGCAAACTATTTCTTTTTGCCCTTAACCTCCTTAGCGGTATTCCCGAGTGTAGCTCGGGGTAAAATTTCAGTACCACAAGCGGTAACCCCGAGCTACACTCGGGCTTACCATGCGGCATTGCTCTGGGAGTCCCTGCAGCACTTACCTTGTCCTTCGCTCCCACGATGTGTCCCCTGCAGCGTCCCCGGTCATCTCCTCCGGCCGATGCCGGCATCCGGCTTCCGTGTTCCGGTCCCTGTGACGTCAGGACGTACGGGCGCCAGAACCGGTGGCAAATTTGACATTTTTTAAAAATGTCATTTTTTTTTTTAAAATGACTATTACATAGTAAAACATTGCTGTTTCAATGCATTTCACATACATTTTGTCCCTACTGCTTTGTCCTGTCCCCTGCCTGCATTTTGATTGTTCTTTCTGCCTGGAAACTTAGAAAAGTCCATGTCGTCCAAAAAGCGTCCCTTTACGTCAAAAGCGGTTTTAGACCAGCTAGAGAACAGTGATAGTAAATCAGAACCACTTGCAGAATTGAGTGATAATGATTTGTGGGGAAATTCATCATCAGACACTGAAAACGATTTTGCGACTTTGCTCAGCGATGTGCGAGTTTGCCTCTGTATTTCAAATTTCAGTGTTTTTGGTTTGATTATATTATTGAATAAAATTTATTATTATTATATTATTTTTTATGATTATTTATGAAATTATAATTTATGATTTCGTGTTTAAAATTTTATCATACCCGGGATGTTTACTAGACTCTTGTTCGTACAGATTTCAGTGAGTTATTCCTAAAAATTACAGCCTACAATAAAAAACTACATATTTCCATGCAAAAAAAGGTACCGCTTTCAGCACAAAAAAGCAAAAAAATAATCATACCGCCAGGGAGGTTATTATAATTGGGAAAGTTTGAGTATTAGTGAAAATTGGTAAACTTTGGTGACTGAATGAGAACAGCTGCTATAATTCATCATCCCATCCTTGAAGGATTAATTAATGTATACAGTGAATATTTCCATGTATAGACCTAAATTGGCGAATTGCAGCTTAGCACAACATTTTTCAAATTCCTAAGCCAGAAAAGGACATATTACAGGAACATTGTGTCTAGAAAGCCCAAATTATAGATGGGGCCTTAAGTTCTCTGGACTTTTTCCAAGCACAGAGGAAGGTCACATGCCTCCAGATGTGTAAAAGGCATGCTTTCCAATAGATTGAAACCTGAATCTTTTCCAAAAGGCCTGCTCAACCCAAGACTGATGGGTCAGATTTAGGTAAGCGATGATAGATTTATCATCCTCGGAATAACAGGTAGGATGATGACGTGCTCTTCCTAAAAGGGCTTTTTCTCCCAGGACTTAAATTTGGTTGTAGAGGCTGAAGGTTTCTCATACATGAAGGTAAAAAAAAAACACGTGTGGGGCCCCCACCCCAATGCTTACCTGAGGCCAATCTCGATCCAAGTAGTCTCTCTCCCAGGAAACAGGTATAACTATAATGTTTTTTTTTGTTGTTTTTTTTTTGACCTTTAGTGTCCTTTTCTGACAGTATGTGAAATCGTCTCTGCCATTGATGACAGGATCTGAAAACCGCTTGTAAATGCTCTCTATGGTAGTGCTCAATGGGTTTATACTTGTCCAGGGGGAGGCAGTGGTAGATACAAAGTAAGTGAGCAAGATTAAGCCATTTACGCTGTCCTTCACTTTTCCATAGACTTTAATTATGGTTAATTGCTGCTGAATTGGTCAAAATTAAAGCTTTGAGTGGATCTGCACCACCCAGCTCGACAACTCATTTAGGAATTGACTGAACCACATAGAAAATAACTGGACATACAGTGACTGCATCGTACTATTCGGGTTTGTCGGAATACAGTTGCTGGCAGCGGAGATTCCTCCATTTTAGCATGGATGGGGGGATTGATTTTCTTTCATGCAGCTAATGAACTGAACATGAGGAAATCAAGCTGTGTATGGCTGTATTTATTTCACCCTACTGAGGGTTAACCCTACAGATGTTAGTGTGTTTGTATTCAATATATTGCCAATTTCTTGAATATTCTAGCTGACTGTTATCCTTACCCCTGGCTTTAATGTTTTCTGGATTGCTGACCCTGAACAGGAAAGTCGTAAGTCCTTGCCTGCATCCTTGTTCCAGGTCAGTGACTCAAAATATTGAAGTTGAAGGCACAACATTATACAGACATGGAACTAGCATATTAATAAGGAGCATCCATCAAAAGGTGTCTACTTCTCATGACAGGTTTCTTTCAATTTTGAGCTCTGTGTTGTCAATAAATGTCTTTATGTTTCTTGCTATATTTTAGAATAAATGGGGACTCCCCTCGACCAAAGTCAGAACCAGAGCCATTCAGCAAAACAAGAATGGATTTAGAGCAAATTCTAAGCCGACCAAAATCTCAAGATCTTGAGCCGAATTTAGTGAAAAGCCCCAGAGAGAATGGTGAGTGTGACTACTATGGAGGAGCTCACTATGTCAACTTTGTGTTTCACGTTCTACATAACATCTCATGTATGTATCCCGAGTGTTGTCTCATCACTGAAGGTACATGTATGTCAAAAGAATAGACTCGTCTCTCATTGTAAACATCCACATGTTAAATTAAAGCTCCATCAGAAGCTTTTTTTTTTTTTTTTTTTTTTTTTTTTTTTTAGGTGGGGGATGATGGTGAGTGGGTGATTTTCTCTCCTGGTTAGTCAGAGAAAAATAGTCAGAGGTGGGATTTGCACAGAAGTGTCTCAAGTTTGTATTACTGGGTTGGAAAGTGGGGAAAGGTCTCATCAGCTGGTACAAAGACAACAGAGGATATTCATGTAGAACTGAACCACTTGGTTGTTTCCTACATGATTACCTGACTCATTGTAATTATCAATTTCAAAAACTGTAGAGAAGAAGAGTGTATGCCTTGTTTGTAGTAACCTCATCTTTTTAGTGTTTAACTTTTATTAGGGAGGGGGGAGGGGAGGAGTCTAGTTGCTATGGGCAATATTCATACTTTTAATGGCTACACAGTGTTGCTACAAGCATTAAAAGCACCCCCCCCTTAAAGACAACCCCACCTAATCCAAAAATCCTTAGGGTTTGTATCCATGGGTGAATGCAGCATGCTTTCAGGGTACATTTAGACAGCATGTGATATAAGTTTAAGAGACTTCAGAGAGCAGTGACAGTTAGAGTGGTTGTAAACCCTTACCTATTCCAAGTGGAGTAACTGGCCTCAGGTGGTGATACATGAAGATGAAGCAAATCCTCCTACATACGTTTTACCTGTTTGTTTGCAGCCATCTCTTTTCTACAGCCATTCAAATCACACATTTTTACACAGCATTTCTAAGCTTTAGCAGGCAGGGGGTGCACAGCATAAAGAGGAGGGCTGATTGTAATCTGAGACCTGAGTAGAGGAAGTGGACACACCCCTTCTATACTGTCTCAGGGAAAAGAGCACTGCTGAGGCTGTCAGTCACCTTCTGTGGGCTGGAGAGGGGCAAGGCCTGGGATTGCTTGCTGTCTGAATAAATAATCAAAAGTGACTCATGCAGATAAAGGGAGGAGAGACAGGCTAGTATGGCACTGGGTGCTTTGGATTGAGGCATGTAAACACTATAAGGATGTGCTTTGTTCACTTTTCATTTCAAAGGTTTACAACAAGTTAAAATGACAGTTTTTTTGACCTGCAGTTGACCTCATTGTGACTTTGAGTCTCCTCCTAAGCAACCTTAACCTGCTTGAAGTTGCTTTTGTATTTCTATTGATTTGTATAGGGAGACAAACCGTACCAATGCAAATACAAGCCCATCTATACAGGCTCTAAAGTAGCTAAAATGATTTTCATAGCTGCTGATTTTGCTACAAATCTGGTCTAGAAATCACAATGTTTTTAACTGCTTCCCGACCGCCTTGTAGCTACTGTACAGGGTGGCAGAATTACTGCTACAGGGTGGCAGGGCTGCGAAAAATCACGTGTGTGTGTGTGTGTTACACCGAAATGAAAATTATGGTGCCGAAAATTCAAAATGCACTTGACCGAAATGCTCAGTTTTTAAAAATGTATATATATTTTTGGAAAAAACTACACGGATCAAAAAATATATATATACCTCATTTTTTTTGTAAAATATGAAAGAGGATGTTACGGCGAGTAAATAGATACCCCAACGAGTGACGCTTTAAAATTGCGCTCACTCGTGGAATGGCGTGAAACTGCAGTACTTAAAAATCTCCATGGGTGATGCTTTAAAAATTTCTCCAGGTTAGTAGTGTAACGTTACAGAGGAGGTCTAGTGCGAAAATTATTGTTCTTGCTCTGACGTTCCTGCCGATACCTCACTTGTGTGGTTTGAACACTGTTTACATATGTGGGCATGGCCTACGTATGCGTTCAGCACTATGTGCAAGCTACGGGGGACAGGGGCACTTCAAACTTTTTTTTTTTTTTTTTTTTTTTTCTTTTCTTTTTTTTTTTTAAATTTAATGTTTTTTGCACTGTCCCTTTTAAAAAAAAAAAAAAAAAAAAAAATGTAATCACTCTTATTCTTATCAAAAGAAATGCATGCATCCCTTGTGATAGAAATAATTAGTGACAGGTCCTCTTTATGGAGAGATATAAAGTCAATAAGACCCCACATCTCTCCTCTACAATGTAAAGGTTGGATCAATAAAAAAGCATTGATCTAGTGCTTTAAAAAAAAAAAAAAAAAAAAAAAAACAGAATGGGAAGTGACATCACTCTGGTCCTCCCAAGGGCATAGAGATGCGTTGCGGTCATCTTTCCTTTGCTCATCTCTATGCCAAGCGCTGAGATTGATGGTTTCTCAGGTAAGGATGAGAACTACCGAGCGACGAGGGGCAGGATTTTTCAGCCCCTGTATCGGTGCTTTTTTTTTTTCTTTTCAGCCGAAACATTTCGGCCACTGAAATTTCAGGGCATCCCTAATAAATACACACACACACACTTACTTTTGCATTTCCAGGTAGGGGGCATGCGCCGCCATCGGCGACTACAACTTGATCACTGGGTCCTGGCAAGAAATTCCTCGCCGCACATGGCAATCGCTGAAGAACAGTGAAAGGGGAGAGGTCTGTGTGTAAACAACACAGTTCTCTCTCCTGTCAGCACTGACTTGCTGCTTTGTATTGCTCTGCATGGCAGAGCATTACACAGCAGTATGTTTCCCTAGTAAAATACACACCGCAAACATAGTAAAACAGCAAAGAGTTAACCCTTTGATCACCCCAGATGTTAACCCCTTTCTGCCCAGTTCCAGCCCCAGATTCCCCACGGGCACCCGACAATCGCTGAGGAACAGTGAAAGAGGAGAGGTCTGTGTGTAAACACAGATCTCTCTCCTGCCAGCAGTAACATACTGCTGTGTTTTTCTCTGCACAGCTGTATGTTTCCCTAGTAAACCATACACAGCACACATTATAAAACACAGCAGTTAACCCTTTGATCGCCTCAGATGTTAACCCATACCTGCCCAGTGTCAGTACAGTGTCAGTGCTTTTTATTAGCACTGATCACCTTATTAGTGTCACTGGGGATGTCAGTGGCAGTTCCCACCCAGTGTCAGAATGCCTGCCGCAGTCCCACTATAAGTCGCTGATCGCCGCCATTACTAGTATAACAAAAAATTAAAAAGAAAAATTCCAATATATACACCGCAATTTGTAGACGTTATAACTTTCATGTAAACCAATTCATTTACATGTATTGGGATTTTTCTTTTTAGCAAAGATATTGAGCAGAATACATTTTGGCCTAAATTTATGACAAAATTAGATTTTTTTTTTTCTTTTTTTTTTTTTTACTGAATAGGTTTTATAGCAAAAAATCAAAAAGTATGTTTGTTTTTTACAAAATTGTTGGTCTATTTTTTGTTTATAATGCAAAAACTAAAAACCGCAGAGGCAATCAAATACCACCGAAAGAAAGCTCTATTTGTGGGAAAAAAGGACATAAATTTAATTTGGGTTGCATGACCACGCAATTGTGAGTTAAAGTAATGCTGCGCCATATCGCAAAAAATGGCCTGATCAGGAAGGGGGGTAAATCCTCTGGAGGGCAAGTGGTTAAGTTAGAAACCTTATCTTGTTTTTAATACACAAACTGAAAATTTTTTAATGCTTTTCTCTCCTTTTCATTTTATCCACTCTGATGCCAGTTTCTCTTCAGTTTTTTGATTGATTGTATCTCTCAATATGCATCTGTCATTTTGCTGCAAAATGGGAGAGGTTAGGTAAAATAGGCGCTTTATTGCAGAGGTTAAGGCCATACAATACCCCATCTTTTAAATGCTGCCTCCTTACTGCTCACATATGTCATAAATATAGTTTCTTGGACATAACCAATGTAAATACCTTTTTGTAAGCTGGTTGGCATGCAGTCAGGTGACCGCTAAGCTCCATAAAATGTGCCTTTCCATGTGTCTGGTGGACATGAACTCTCAGGTTTGGCAATACCTTAGTGGTATTGATGCTGGCACAAATGTCGTCACTGCTCTAAGGATTCAGAAGTGTTGTCGGCCCTGCACAGAGACACACTTGCCAGAGCTTTTTTTATTTAATCAAGTCATTTTTATTAAAAATGTTTTTGCATTTTTTGTACAAACAAAACGGAAGACAATATATATAAACAATGCATTAAAACAATAGAACGCCAAAACCGACTGGTGGTAATCTGGAAATTTATTTTAACAAGAATGAAAAACAAGAGAAATTACAACAGATGAAGCTATAGGTCTTATAGCTAGAAACTATTTCTGTATATGTCGTGCAAAATTACATCACTTATTTACAAGATTCTCAAAGCCAGTGTGGTCATCACATCAATACAGATCTTATTCTATCTCTACGTTGTAGTCAAAACTTTGAGACCTTTCAGTATAGTTAACACAGTATCTGATTTATAAAAAATGTAACCTCCTCAACAGTCCCCAAGGATAATGAGAATGCGGAATCCTTAGACACCAACCACAGAGACCATATTTTCCTAAATTTTTTGGGACAGCTCCTGTGCATGTAAGTCAGTTCCTCTCTCCTCAAATTAAGGTTGAGAGCATCACGCCATTAACTATAAGTTGGTGGTGTAGGTGCGAGCTGCTTTTGAAGGATACCTTTTACAGGCTAAATATAGGGATCTAATCCATAATAAGTGCATCTCAGCAGGTAGGGTGTCCTCAGGAATTATGCTCAGTTTTTCAATTTTGAGATCCATCTGTAGCTTCACAGAACAGATTGAATTAAGGGTGTTAAATAAAGAGGACAAGTAACGGTGAGGTTTAGGGCAGCACCACAACATATGTATAAGTGTACCTGTGACTAAAGTACATCTAGAGCATAATGGAGATTCTATCCTCCCCCAGGAATACAGCTTTTGCAGGGTATAATGCACCCTATGAATAATAAACAGTTGTATCAGGCATTGTGATGGGGATAAAGATATT